GTTGATAGAATCCACGGGTCGGGGATGCAAGGCTGACTGTACTCGGTGGCTCGGGAAGACCGGGGCACTTGGCTCTGAGGACAGAGGACTGGGAGTGGTTTTGCTTTTCACAAGTGGCCAGGCATGGACACATTCTGCTTCTTCAGGGATAAAACCAGTACCAAATGTTTTTTCCTACAGTGAATGAACCTATGGAACACACAAAAAATTTGGTTCATTAAAAACAAAATGTATTTACCATTGCAGCTGAAAACACACACTTCTGTCTTCCTGACAAGAACTCCAGCAGGCCATAAGCCGCTCGCAATGAGGGTCGTGGCAGACAATTGGACACACACTGTTATAGGCACCACCTGGGCTTCTTGGACTCTGCTCAGGGCCACGTGGTGACTTAGCACAAAGCCCTGCCTTGATCAGAACCCGAGTCCTAATCCCTGTCCCGTGTGTTACTCCCACTTCTGTACGTGATCTTTTGAATTTTTTAAGCATTGAACATTGATCCTCAATAATCCACATCAAGGTTCTCAAGAGTTCCAAGTGTCTGCCTGGAAAAGAATAATTCATGTTCAAAAATGACATAAATCTTACCGTTTTGGTATTGCTTCTAAGTTTCTTTTTTTCCTTCTAAAGCATGCAGGTTTCAAAGCAGGCTTCCTTGGGGCTAGCATTGTGACACATTGTGTTAAGCCTCAGCCTGTGACGCTGGCATCCCATTTGCATTCAGGTTCAAGTCCTGGCTGCTCCATGCTCGATCCAGCTCCCTGATAACGTGCCTGGGAAAAGCAGCAGAAGATGGCCCAAGTGCTTGGGCCCCTGCCACCCACATGGACCCAGAAGCTCCTGGCTCCTGGCTTTGGGCTGGCCCAGCCCTGACCATTTAGGCCATCTGGGGAGTGAATCAATGGATGGAAGATCTGTGTAACTCTGCCTTTCAAATAAATGAACAAATCTTAAAACAACAACAACAAAAAAAAGCAGGCTCCCGAATGTTAGGAAACTGGCGCAGTTGTAGCCAGGTGGCTGCATGGCCCAGCTACCTGAGCCAGGCTCCACCCCCATCCTAATGGGATTGGCTGCTCCTGCTTCCCTGCCCGCCCTCAGGCAAAGTTTTAAAAGGGCCTGTTCCTGCACACGTGCTCTCTCGGTCTTCTCTCCTGTGCTCTCTTGGCTTCTCTCCTCTCTCTTCTCCCTCCTCTGTCTCTCTCTCACAGTCTCCTTCTCTCTTTTTCCTTCGCCGCCCCTTCACTCCGGTCTGTAGGGTGTTCCCCAATAAACCCTTTCCCTTACTCCGGTGTCCAGTGTGCTTTGCGATGGCTAACATTAATATATAACACCGAACACTTCATTTACTGGACTCTGCACTACACGAAGTCCACTCAAGGCCAGTTCACCCAGCAGCTAACGATGGTCTAAGTAAGCAATGCCTACAGATTACAGAACTGGTGATCAGGGGAAGCCATTCCCGAGTTGTTACCACCGTCAGAATCCCAGACGTTCTAGTCCAGCACCACCCACAACCACCAGGCGGACGCCCATGGTCGTCCCAGCCTGCACTGCACAGGGCTTGAGGCAGCCTTGAGAGCCGAGCACCAGGCGTTCTCCTTGCTGTCATTCACCACCGCCTGCGGTCAACCGAGTGTGGACGCGACCAGGGCAGGCACCGTAGCCCAGCTGCATTTTAAGCGCAACCCCAACAGATTATTAGCATTTGCTTTTGCCCCTGCATTTTGTATAAAGCTTGGACCTCCCACATAGCTAAAGGCTGTTGAGGAAAAAGCCTTTCTCCAGGCTCCCTGGCAAACCGAAGGACAAACGCCCCTGGTCTTATGCACAGCTGGTGGTTCCCATCCGTGTTATGAAGCATTTGCCTGCCCCGCCCAGCCCTGGAGAGAGGCTTCTGGCTATGACAAAGGCAGGGGAGGTCACTCTCAGGCAAGGAACTCACCAAACAATTTTTTACAAAGATTTATTTATTTATTTGAAAGGCAGAACCAGAGAGAGAGAGAGAGAGAGAGAAACCTTCTAAGCACTGGGTCACCCCAGATGGCTGCAATGGCCCGGGCTGGGCCAGGTGAAGCCAGGAGCCAGGAGCTTCATCCGGGTCTCCCACGTGAGTGCAGGGGCCCAAGCTCTTGGGCCATCTTCTGCTGCTTTCCTCAGGTGCATCAGCAGGGCGCTGGATCAGAGTGGAGCAGCCGGGACTTCAGTCAGTGTCCATATGGGCTGCTGGCATTGCAGGCAGGGCTTTAACTGCTAGACTGTGACTCCGGCTTGCAAACACATTTTGAAAACAATTGTAATCTTTTCCTATGGAGAACTCAGCAAATTAAGCTGTGAAACCACACAAGTGTTTCGCCTGAGTAGGTAACCATTTCTCACACAGAAGCGGGGGCTCCCTCAGGTAGGTCACTGACACCTGAGCCAGGATTCCACATGGCTCACTCACTGCCACTGAATGACTTTTTCCATTCACAGGAAATCTGAGCTAAACACTTACAGATTTGGTTGCTGCAAACTAACTTGAACATGGCTTATACTAGACTCGTATAACAAACGTGTGTTGCAGACACACGTACACAACCTCATTGGAAGCATACGGTATCAGCTACCTATGTCCAGGTCACCTGCACACTGGGCAAACCTCCGAGTGTACAGTGCGCGTTCTCCACCTGAGAATCCAGAAGTGGGGACACCGACACTGCTCAGGAAGCACCCCCTCAGGATCCTGGGAAGCCCAAGGCAATAACGGCACTACAAATTACCCCAGGGCGGGCACTGACTTAGCAGCTTAGATGCTGCATTCCTTACTGGAGCGCCTGCCGTGAGTCCTGGCTCCAGCTACCGACTCCAGCTTCCAGCCAATGAAGACCCTGGGAGGAAGCAATGACGGCTCAAGTGGTCGGGCTCCCGCCACCCATGTGGGAGACCTGGATTGAGTTCCTTGTTCCTGACTTCACTCTGGCTCAGTCCTGGCCACTGGGGAGTAAACTGTCTCTGAGTCTCCAGTAAAAGAAAAAAAAAAAGTACCCCAGAAAATCAGTCCTCATGGAGCAGAACATGGTGCAATTCAGAGATGTGTCAGACATGGAGCAGCCGTGGAGCCGGGCACTCTGTTCCGTGACAGCCAAACAGGATGAAGGCCAGGAAGGAGCAGGTACCAGCCCCCTGGGATTAGGGGCCACACATTCCTTTCCTGCTGTCCTGATGCTATTTTAGCATAAACAGAACTCATGGAAAATGCTCTGCTGCTCTCGGGCCAAGCAGACCGGCTGCTGGTGTTCAGTGCCTGTTCGCTCTCGGGACCCTGGTTCTCTGACTCATTTGGAGACTCCTGTGGTGGAAATCTCTGGATGTGGGTGAAGAGCTCACAGCTACTGAGAGCTGCTGACATGCAAGGCACCTGCCAGGTATGGGCATACCCCTTGGTCAGTGCCCACAGCACCCTGTGAGGAAGGCAGCTCTGCAGTCCATGGGCCGGCATCTGGGGCCAGAGGGACGGAAGCTGGGGTTGGGCCTGTGCCCTATTGCAATGCCAGACTTTGCCATGGAGCAGCTGCCTGGCCCCCAGGTGGTGGTGAGGGGAGCGACACAGCGCAGCTGGCAGGAGGCGACAGAGCGGTCCCAGCCCATGCTGAAGCTGACCTTGGCTGACATCCAGCCCATGACGGCTCTCCTTACCCTGCCCTCGCCATCCCTAAGTCTCCCTCCCCCCTGCTTCTTGGGTGTCCCCTTCACAAAATCAGAATTCTCTGCAATTCCAGGGCTCTAACCTGGCCTCACCTGTGAAACCACACAGCCTGACTTGCTCTCGCCCTGCCCCGGGCTGGTCTTTCTGCTCCGCTCCCAGTTACACAGCGGGAGAGCTGAGGGTCACCAGTAGGTACAACTGCTACAGGGGAATCTTTGAAGGCTGGTGGCCGACAAAAACCAGGGAAGAACAGAAATCCCACAGAATAGTGGTGGAGTGCCATATATAAAACAAACCAGGGTTTTAGAATGGATGTCACAGGGTGTGCCTCTATGCGCTGCTATCCTGTAGGGCTTTCTGAGATGATGGAAAACCGTGCATTTTGTCACACTGTCAGACACGGCCCCACTCAACCCTGATGCCCTGTGGCTCCTGTGTGCTCTCATAGGCTCCTGTGGTCATCAGGTGCAGGGACCCCCCTGCTCATTGCACCTATACAAGACCCTGCGTCTTCACCTGGTTTACCTGGCTACCCCATTCAGACCACAAAGGAAACGCCTTTCTTTACATACCATATGCCTATGTACCAAAAAACAACCCCAAGGCATCAGGCATTGGAGTATTTTATTCCTCGAAAGAATTCCCTGCAGAATCACTCTCTGGGGTCTCCCGTGTGTGGTGAGGCTGTCCTCGAGGGGGGTTCACCCTGGATCGTGAGGGGTGCTGAGTAGCCCGGAGAGTGCAGAGAAGAGGCCCTGTGGCGGGGGTGGGGGCTCGCTCGCTGGGCCTCTGTGGGGGCACAGCAGGGTGTGAGTGAGCAGGTACCTGCAGCCCCACCTCTCAGGCACCCAGGAGCCAGAGCCAGCCAGGGAGAGGCCCACTCCCCCACTAACACCTGTGCTTCCTGACGGCACGTTATTAGGAAGAGCAGAGAGAAAGTTCAGAGCCGTTTGGTCTTCTGACCGACCTCAATTCCAGCGCTCGAGGAAAGACACTGGCCTGCTGCTATGAGCCTCAACAGAATTCTTTTTCCACGCAAGATCCCACCTCTGGAAGAGAAACAAACGAGGCCCGGAGCACAGGGCACACACTCTCCTCCCGGCTCAGCCCACAGAAGCAGCATCTCAGAGGCGAGCCTCCCTTCGCTCTGTCCCCGTCTCGGATTCCGAATGCTGACAAGGGAATCACGGGGAAGCAGCGTGCAGTGCACAGCACTGTCGACTGGGGGAGGGGGGAATACCGCGCCCACCTTCCTGCTGAGCCCAGATCTGCAGCGACGCTGGCGACACGTAGGGAGGCACAGACAAGCGCGTGCCATCGGGTTCATTTATTGCATTCCGAAGCACCCGGGGAAGGCCTGAGAAGAGTCCGCTGCATCAGCAGTTCCAAAGCGTCATTACCTGAGATGTGCACGGGGGAGTCGACACGGCCTGGCCGCGGCGTGGCTCCTATGGCACGTGGGCGCTGGCCCTGACGGAAGGACGGGCACTGACCTGACAAGGGCTGCGTCAGATCAGAGAAGAGGACCCGGCCAAACACCAACTCCCAGCGATGGAGATGCGGGCTGCAGAGGCCAGCCACCTGCTGCAAGCTGGGGTCAGCAGCTGAGATGCCTGGCCCAGATCACGGGCTGCCAGGCCAACGGCAGCCCTCCCCCCAAAGGCCGAGTCCTGGTCCTCGGGCCGCACTGCTTTGCGAGGGCAGCTCCGTGTCACTTCTCATCGTCCCGCCCATAGTGGATAGTTTGCAAGGCCTGCGCCACAAGCGTCGCCATCTCCGGGGTGCCGGCAGCAACCACTCTGCAGGACATGAGGTCGAGGGGCCCACCTAGGAACAGAGCAGGGAGGGTGGACACCCCGGTTACTGAGGGGCCGGGACAACCTCGTATGATAACTTCCGGCACATGCGGGGGCCCCATGTATGTTTCAGGCCCGCACCTGCCAGGCAGTCTAGAAGTGAACCAGGGGCAGAAGGGCCCAGCAAGGTGTAACAGTAAAGTGGGTATGTGGCCATCAGGCTGAGCCCTCCTGAGCCTCTGTCTGAGGACCAGCAGGAAGGAGGCCGTCTGGGCTGGCCACTGCCTTCTCCACCCCCGTGTGGCCTCATCTGCAGAGCTCTGAGAGGAAGGGGGAATTCGGGTGGGGAGGCACCGGGAAGCACCCTACCCAGAGTGTCACTCGGTCTGGTTTCTGCAGGGCCCTGAGGCTGGGAGGCTGGCTGGGGCGCAGGGCTCACCTGAGGTGTCCATCACGATGCCACCTGCTTCTCTGATGATGACCGTGGCAGCTGCCAGGTCCCAGCAGTGAAGGCCGAACTGGTAATAGGCGTCGGCGGCCCCGGCGGCCAGGTGGCAGAGCGCCAAGGTGGAGCTTCCGATCACTCGGACCCTGAGGGAGAGGGAAGGCCAGATGACGGTGGAAGTGGAGCCCAGCTCTTGACGTGACGTGTGGGCTGCCTTCACCCACTTGCGTCCTCACTGGGCAGGATCGGGGGCCAGACTCAAGCCATGGGCTTCTGTCAGCAAGCTCGGGACGCAGAATTCAGAATGGCTTCAGCGCCCTGCCCTGCAGGGGCTCCTGGGTGCTGAAACACAGCTGGTGCATGCACTCTACCTACATTACATTCGGGTTGCCAAGTATGGTGTGTGGCAGGGGATGGGGACTCATCTGGACCTTAATAAACATTCAGAATTAATGCATCAGAGTAACGTCCACCTGAAGCCAGAACGACACGCAGGACCCCTTCAGACCTCTCTTGGATTCTCAGAACAAGGATCAGAAGGGGTACAGGACCCCATGCAGTTCCGGACGCCCCCTGGTGTCCCTCAGAAGAAGCGCAGGCTGCGCGGCGTCTGCACAGAAAGCACGCGGCTCTCCCGCTCCCACCTGCAGGGGGCGCTCCCGACACCGGTCCTTACCCGTGGGCCCTGGCGTGCAGCAGCCGCTCCATGTTGCTCAGGAACAGCTTCAGAGTGGCGGGGTCGCGCCGGGGGCCGATCTCTGTCAGAACCAAGGCCTTGGCGAGATCTGCAACAGAGGGAAGCTCCCGTCACCCAATGCCGCTGGACAGGGCGGTGTCCCCTGGAGAAGGATCGTCTTTGCGTGGTTTCTGCTAGAAAGTTCTTCCCGCAGCTTCGCGCAAGGCGAGCACACAGCTGAAACGCAGCCCCGCTGGCCACGGCCCCTCTGGTCCGGCTGCCTGGTCTCAGCCTGGGCGCTGCAGGGACGGAGTTTCCTTGCACGCTGGGACCGTGGAGACCTCGGGAGAATCTGGTGGCTTTTGAAGATCATCGTTCAATCCTAAATATTAAACAAATGACTCCCCACTGGGCACACCCCGTGCCTCCTGGAGTGACCCTCCTGTCAGACCCCACGCGGCCTCCCGAGGAGACGGGAGGTGGCAGGGATGACCCCTGCACCAGCAAGGGGCTGGCAGCTGGTTGGTGGCTGTGGGGGACGTGCCTGGGCCTCTGCCCCTGTCCCTGACTGGGGGACGGGGACCAGCAGTGACGTGTCCTCGCCTTGTTGCTCACGTCACGGCCTGTTGGCCCACCAGCGAAGAACTACAGATGACAAGCATGCGCAAGATGCTGCACATCCTACATCACTGGGGACACGCAGACTAACACAGTGGTGAGACCCCAGTGCACCTCTGTCAGAACACTGACATCAAATGCTGGAGCGGAAGTGGAGCAACAGGAACTGTCAGTCATGGCTGGTGGCAATGCCAAACAGCACAGCCCCTTGCAAGGCAGGTCAGCAGTTTCTCTGAAAACTGAACACACTCCCTTGCTATTCACCCAAAGGAGCTGAAAATGTGCTTGTATGGAACAACCTGCAGCTTTCCTCCTAACAAAGCCACTAGTGGGCCTTCAGCAGGTGATGGCAAACTGTGGGCTTCCAGAAACAGAGCTGTGCCACCCTAGAAACAAGCTGTCAAGCCCCGAGACTGGGCAGGAACAGCGAATGCACTTCCCAGGCGAAGGAGGCCAAGCCGAAGAGGCCACACGCTGTTCTGGACAAAGCACAACCATGCACACAGTGGGAGGGTCAGAGGCTGCCAGGGGCTGGGAGGGCTGAGCAGTGGAGAACAGAGTTCTCAGGGCCGATTCAACCCTTCTGAGTGAGGCTGTGAAGTGACTTCTTATCCTGTGCGTTTGTCTAAGTGAATGTCCAATGCCAAGTGTGCACACCATGACGGTCACCTATCAATGTGGGTCCACTGCAACAGACCCCCGTCCCAGGGTGGAGTGTGGACATGAGGGCCAGGGTAGGGGTGTGGACGTAAGGGGTGGGAGCTCTTTCTGGACCTTCCGTTTGATTCTGCTATGAACCTAAAACCACCCTAAAAAATATAGTGAAAGAAAGGAAGACACTGGCTGGCCTGTTATTTTAGCCTGAAAAATCACAGAAGCACCGGTGACGGATGTGTTGCCTTCTCCTACCCTGCTTGCAACCAGCTTGCCCAACTTCACATGCTACCCACACCCACACATGAACCCAAACACAGTAGCTCTGTCTTTCACATGCATGAAAATACAACTTAAAAACACAACAGTTTGGGGCTGGTACTGTGGCGCAGTAGGTTAAAGCCCTGGCCTGCAGTGCCGGAAGTCCATTCAGACGCCGGTTCTAGTCCCAGCTGCTCCACTTCCAATCTAGCTCTCTGCTATGGCCTGGGAAAGCAGTAGAAGATGGCCCAAGTCCTTGGGCCCCTGCACCCATGTGGGAGACCCGGAAAGAAGCTCCTGGCTCGTGACTGGCGCAGCTCTGGCCATTGTGGCCATCTGGGGAGTAAACCAGCAGATGGAAGACCTCTCTGTCTCTTTCAAATAAACAAAAAATAAAAAAAATTTTTTTAAAAAGCCACAACAGTTCTACAGGTTATTGGGACTGATCTCTTGACAATACATCATACACAGCTTCTGCCACTCACACCTCACTCTCTGACTGCACCCCATTCTACTCAGTGCCACTTCAAGCCCCTACAGATGAACACTTTCCATTCTTGCTATAAAGTGATGGTGAAGACCTTTTCCTGTAGAGGTTTGTGCAGTCATGTTGACAGTATTTTCAAGACAGAGCACATGAAGTGGGATTTCTAAAAGAGCGTGCATATTTTGAATGTATTTTTTATGTATCTGAGAGGCAGAAAGAAAGAAGCAGAAAATGAAAGAGACACAGACCGAGTGAGTTCCCATCTGTGGGGTTGACTCTGAATACTGGCAATAGCCAGGACTGGGCATGGACAAAACTGGCATCTGGAACTGCAATCCAGGTCTCCCAGTGGGTGGTAGGGGCCCAACTACTGGAGCCACCACCACTGCTTCCAGAGTCTGTATCAGCAGGAAGCTAGAGTCAGGAGCCGGAGCTGGGCATTGAACCCAGGTACTCCAGTGTGAGACCTGGGGCTCGTAACTGATTTTTTTAAGATTCATTTTCATTTATTTGAAAGGCGGAGTGACAGAGAGACAGAGATTGTCCATCTGCTGGTTCACTCCCAGTGATTAGGGCTCAGGTTAGGGCTGGGCCAGGCTGAAGCCAAGAGCCTGGAATTCCATCCAGGTCTCCCATGTGGGTGGCAGGAGCCCAGGTGCTTGGGCCACCTTCTGCTGCTTTTCCAGGCCTATTACCAGGGAGCTGGGTCAGCAGCACAGCAGCCAGGGTTTAAACCAGCACTCTGATGCAGGATGGCAGCATCACAATGGCTTAACCTGCTGCACCAGGTCGCCGGCCCCCTTCAACTAACATGCTTAACTCCTAGGCCAAATGCCCACCCAGAATGTACGTAGTCTAGATTTTGGTATCATTTTCCAGTTTGCCCTCCCCCAAACCCCACTAGGGTCTAGGAGCTCCTGAACCGTTTGTAAGTCCCAGCAGGATCCCGTATGCTAAGGTGTGTACTTCAAGAGTGATCTTTCTCTAGCAGGAAGCTCAAAAATGACATCCTTCCCTCCAGGGCATTTCCTGGTGCCCTGGGAAAATAGGAGGGGAGACACGGAGATTCCCGCCAGGAAGGAGGAAGGAGGACGCTGGACAGCTAGCCCACGGGCAGCTAAGCCCGACTTTTATTCAGATGTCTAAGATGCCTGCCCCAGGAAACCAGCTCTGCACCCTGAAGGACAGGCCCGAAGGTGCAGGCCTCCAGGGGCAGATGCACCCCACCATGGGCACGGGGGCTTCCAATGAGGCAGCCAGGGCTGTTGAAGGGGAAATCAAGTCCTGTGCAAGCTGCTGCTTCTCCATGCAGGCTGTGGGGAGCTCCACACTCAGGCCCACGCCCTGGCTGCAGACACACACAGGGCTGGAGTAGCGCAGGCACCTGCTGAGGCTGTAAGCGGCCGAGACTTAGGCTCGCCTGGTGATTTGTGAAAGGAAAGGTTTCTTCTTACAGTTTAAAATGTGTGCAAGGATCACTCTTAATCTAGCACCTTCCCTTTCTAGGTGCAGTGAATTCATTCCTTCTAATTCCCGCAAATGTAGGAAGCTATGTGCTGCCACCCTAGAGGCAAGATGCTTGCTGTTGCAATTTGCCCTGGATGAGAGGAGAAAAACGCAATTTATTGAACTCTTCTCTACTTAACAACATAGGACAGTTATTCTTCTTGACCCACAAGTACTGTGAGTTCTGCATTTTATTGTCCTTTGTCCTAGATTTGCTATAATAACTTTAAACCTAATTCAATGGAATAAACAGTCATTCCTCAGGACGCACAGAGGACTGGTGCCAGGGCTTCACCCGTGGGGACTGAAAACCACACATTCAAGTCCCTTTACATAAATGGCACCTATTTGCACAGAACCCACACACAGCCTCTTGGATACTTGTAATCATCTCTAGATTATTAACCATACCTGATGTAGTGTTGTGTGAAGAGCTGTTCAGGGCATAATCGCAAGGCATAAAAGCTCTGCACGTGTTCAGTACAGACGCAAACCTCGGGGGAAAGTTTTCAACCTGCAGTTGGTTGAATCCATATCTGTGGAACCTGCAGTGACAGACGGCTGACTGTGTATACACTTATTTTTTTAAAACTAAGTTATTTTTTAGTTAACACATGAGAATAGAACATATTTAGGGAGACCAGTGTGATGATGCAACATGTTTATAATGTGTAATGATAAATCAGGGTAAGCAGGGTTTTCTTCTTCTTAAACACTGATCATTTCTGGGACCGGCACTGTGGCGTAGTGGGTAAAGTTGCTGTCCGCAGTGCCGGCATCCCGTATGAGTCCTGGCTGCTGCACTTCTAACCCAGCTCCCTGCTACTGTACCTAGGAAAGGAGCAGAAGATGGTCCAAGTCCTTGGGCCCCTGCACCTGCGTGGGAGCCACAGAAGAAGTTCCTAGCTCCTGGCTTTGGATCGGCCCAGCTTTGGCCATTGTGGCCATTTGGGGAGTGAACCAGTGGATGGAAGATCTCTCTCTCTCTCTGCTTCTCTGTAACTTTGCCTTTCAATTAAACAAATAAATCTTTTTTAAAAAGTTTACTCAGTTGAAATGAACTTTAAGGAAAAAACCCACATTGATCCTTTCTATGTGCTGGGAACCCCGTGCCCTTCCCAGCCCCTCCTGACTGCTAGTCTACTCTCCACTTCTATTAGGCCAGCTTTTTTTAAACTTTCACATACAAGTGAAAACACGCATGAATATTTTTAAAATTTAGAATATTCTGAGGGCTGGCATTGTGGCGTAGCAGGTAAGGCTGCCACCTGCAACACCAGCAGCCCATGTGGGCACCAGTTCGAGTCCTGGCTGCTCCATTTCCAATCTGGTTCACTGCTAGTGGCCTGGGATAAGCAGCAGCAGAGGGCTCAAGTGTTTGGTCCTTGCCGCCCATGTGAGAGACCCAGATGAAGCTCCTGGCTTCTGGTTTTGGCTTGCTTCAGCACTGGACTTTGTGGCCATCTGGGGAGTGAACCAGCAGATGGAAGACCTCTCTCTCTCTCTGTAACTCTGACTTCAAAAAACGAATCTTTAAAAAATGATTATTCTGCAATTCATGGGGGTGGTGAGAGTTATGGCTA